TCGTATTTATTTTTTATAATCACAGTGGCAACGTTGCAAAAAAGCCCCCCGCCGTGAAAGCTCGATGGCCGCTGGCGCCGTACCAGGCTGTACTGGATCGATCCAGTCTGGTTGTTGTCGCTAAGGGAAAAAATGCATTCCTTATCTTTTTCACTTCGCAGTGTGATTTTTAGCAGTGTGAGTTTAGTAGTGTGGTTTCACTAGCAGTAAATAGTGCGTAAAAACGTCTAGCTCTATACAAGTTTTGAACCTGCTCACTTTTCTCTAATTATTTAATTATTCTCTCTAGTTGCACCCTTGTGCAGTCTCTCTCTCGCTCTCTAAATAAAAAGACTTATTTTTTTATCTCTTTGGCTGCTGGCTTGAAAACTCAAGTGATATAATATCGCGTAACACATTGAGTTAATCACACTCCCCTTTTTTAAGGGCTCTCTAAAAATATAAAAACTCTCAACTCCCGAAGATTTCTATTAAGAATAAACTTTATCTTGTGCTCTCAATTAAAATATTAGCGTTCCGCTAATACTGACAATTATTGTTAAATTGACTATTGAGCACTTAGCAACTAGTGAATTTATACCGATTAGTGAATGTTCTCGAATAACTCAAATGCGACTTGTTAACTAACCTGTGAATAATTAAAAGTACTTGAATGTGGTTACAGTATTTATTACTTTATTAAACGATTATTTTGGCAACAATAGAGAGATATAAAACTGGAAGTGTGAGTGCATTATTTAGCAGTGACATTCCCATCCCCTTTATGATCCAGTGATCTATCCCCAAATTAAATGTTGACACCTCAGTTAGAGGCCCTAACAGAGATCATCTTCTCTGTGGATATTTTTGTGACAATAATAAAATAAGCTTGCTTACTTTACTCCTAAATTTGCTCGATAAAATGTCTCAAATTCATCGAATTATGTATTACGAGTTTATGTAAAAAATTGTAAATATTCAAAATAATGGAATTTACTTGGTCAATTAGGATGTGATATAAACCTCCTAAAGAACAGATTTCCTTCAAGAGACCCCTTTATTGAATTTTAGACCATTTTATATAAATGTGCCTCCATTTGTTTATTCGCAAACTGCCTCGATATATAAATCTAGTAATATTTTTAACAAGAACAGGTGCACATAAAAATACCTAATAACGATGATAAAAGTGAATTTTTACCTTTGGGTGGCTCCGGAAATTGATTTGAAAAAATCGCAAGTCATTTTTATCCTACAAAAACGTATAATGTTATGGAAAGAGCTTATTCTAGAGCCGTTTTTCAAAGAATAATAGAGGAGGAACAAAAATAAAATATTACTCGCATATTTATTGTACTCCAACTTTTCCCATAGACAACTTTGGTAAATTGGCAATTTCTTGTATAACTTCCATGGGAAAATAGCACCTAATAATAATATAAATCTCTGAAAATATCAAATAAATCCACTCAATCACCGATTATAGATCGAAAAAATGACACAAAAACAAATCAGCTACTGGCTGAAATAGTTTTTTTGCACTATTGCGAAGTTAAAAATATCCTAAATTCACTAAAAGAACTGTTTCCGACATAATACATCTGGAGCAATATATCATATATCGATCAAATTCTTTTTGGTGCAACGCTAAACTACTCGTCAGGAGTTATTATTGATGATTTTTCATTTGAAACGACCATCAGCTTTATCGGAAACGAAAATCATTCATCGCCAGCGTCAAGCCATTAGGGTCAGGCAAGTTTTCAGTTCAGTTTCCCGGCAAACCAATTCGAATTGTATTAATATTGGTTCGAAATGGTCACTAGTTATTGTAACGTCGATTCCAATTTCATTTGACTATTTGATGATAATTCAATAATTATTATTCACATAATTTACGAAATTGAAGTATTAAAAGGTGGCGCAATCTTGGAAAGCTCAAAGTTTCTGAAAAGGAATCGTTAACAGTGTTGCCAACTGCGAATCAACTATTATAGTATAAAACCCTATAAAATTAAAGTACATTTGTACAAATTATAGTATCCTGCTCCTGCTGGAGACAGATGACCACCAATTTTCCTGGTGGGACACACAGAGATCGAACTATTATGAAATTTTCTGGACAAAACGAGAAAAGTCAAGGGCATATCACACTACAATTTCAAATTTTTCCAGTGAAAATAACCCCATTGGAAATTAATGAAAATCAACTAAATTAGATATAAATGCACCATCTAACATTTTATTTTTTTTTCTGGAAAACTATTCAGGGAAAAATTATGACATTTTCTGGAAAAAAAAAGAGGAAAGTCAAGGGCGTATCATAGTAAAATTTCAAATTTTTCAAATGGAAAATAACCCTATTGGAAATTAATGAAAATCAACTAAATTAGGCATGAATGCACCATCTAACATTTTATTTTTTTTCTGGAAAACTATTCAAGGGAAAATTATGACATTTTCTGGAAAAAAAGAAGAAAATCAGGGGCGTATCATAGTAAAGTTTCAATTTTTTTCAGTGGAAAATAACCCCATTGGAAATTAATGAAAATCAACTAAATTAGGCATAAATGCACCATCTAACATTTTATTTTTCTTCTGGAAAACTATTCAGGGAAAAATTATGACATTTTCTGGAAAAAAAGAGGAAAGTCAGAGACGTATTATAGTAAAATTTCAAATTTTTCCAGTGAAAAATAACCCCATTGGAAATTAATGAAAATCAACTAAATTAGGCATAAATGCACCATCTAACATTTTATTTTTCTTCTGGAAAACTATTCAGGGAAAAATTATGACATTTTCTGGAAAAAAAGAGGAAAGTCAGAGACGTATTATAGTAAAATTTCAAATTTTTCCAGTGGAGAATAACCCCATTGGAAATTAATGAAAATCAACTAAATTAAGCATAAATGCACCATCTAACATTTTATTTTTTTCTGGAAAACCATCCAAAGAAAAATTATGGAATTTTCTGGACAAAACGAGAAAAGTCAAGGGCGTATCATACTAAAATATCAAAAATTTCCAGTGAAAAATAACCCCATTGGAAATTAATGGAAAACAACTAAATTAGACATAAATGCACCATCTAACATTTTATTTTTTTTTCTAGAAAAATATTCAAGGGAAAATTATGACATTTTCTGGAAAAAAATAAGAAAGTCAGAAGCGTATCATAGTAAAATTTCAAATTTTTCCAGTGGAGAATAACCCCATTGGAAATTAATGGAAAACAACTAAATTAGACATAAATGCACCATCTAACATTTTATTTTTTTTTTCTAGAAAAATATTCAAGGTAAAATTATGACATTTTCCGGAAAAAAATAAGAAAGTCAGAAGCGTATCATAGTAAAATTTCAAATTTTTCCAGTGGAAAATAACCTCATTAGAAGTTAATGAATATCAACTAAATTAGGCATAAATGCACCTTTTAACTTTTTTTTTCTGGAAAACTATTCAAGGGAAAATTATGACATTTTCTGGAAAAAAAGAAGAAAATCAGGGGCGTATCATGGTGAAGTTTCAAATTTTTTCAGTGGAAAATAACCTTATTGGAAATTAATGAAAATCAACTAAATTACGCATAGATGCACCATCCAACATTTTATTTTCCTTCTGGGAAACTATTCAGGGAAAAATTATGACATTTTCTGGAAAAAAAGGGGAAAGTCAGAAGCGTATCATAGTAAAATTTCAAATTTTTCCAGTGAAAAATAACTCCATTGGAAATTAATGAATATCAACTAAATTAGGCATAAATGCACCATCTAACTTCTTTTTTTCTGGAAAACTATTCAAGGAAAAATTATGACATTTTCTAAAGAAAAAGAGAAAAGTCAGGGGCGCATCACACCAAAATTTCAAATTTTTTCCGCGAAAAACAATAAAATTAAAAATAATTTTCAAAATTAAATAGGGGTGCGTTCGATAACATCTTTTTTGGTATAAAAAAACAATGAACTATAAACTACACGTATCTGGAATGGCACCGACTGTTGTCGCATATGGCATTTGTCATCTTGCTTAGTGCGTCCAAAAAAGCTACATAGTGGGGGATACCTTTCTCTCTCCAGTTCATGGCTGTAAGATTTGGTATATTCCTAACCTCAAATATATTATTTTCTAGACAAAGAAAGATTTCCATAATTCGCCGATACGATAAATAGAGATAGGTTTACTCCACATTCTCCATCTCAATTTGCCGCAAATTTATGGATCGGCGGGCCATTCCAGGTACGTGTAGTTTATAGTTCATTGTAAAAAAAGGAGCCGCTCAGGAAAATCAATGAAATTGACAATTGACAGTGTAAACCCAGTCACCAAAAAAACACTAAACTAAAACTTTTGACAGTTGACATTTAAAATGTTAACTGTCAAAAATTACATGCTCTATCAATACTAAAACGACAGAGTCTATTCAGCTAAAAAAAAAAAGAAAAAAAGGTGACTAGACCTTATAATGTCTAGTCATAAGGGCTTGCACGCCAACACATTAGGAAACCAATAGGATTAGGATTTGTTTTTAATAGAAAGTAGGATTAGGCAACAAATTAGGATTTAAAATAGGCTGAGGAGAACTAGAATAAGGACTTAGGATAAGGGCTTGCACGCCAACAAAATAGGTTTAGGAAAATTAGAATAAGGGCTTGCATGCAAACCGAAAAAACTAAATAATTTGATAATGCATAATTATAGTATTTTAGGTGTACTATAATGACCTTTGATAGTACATAGTACATAACCATTCAATTATAGTACAAATACTATAATTATAGTACGGTTGGCAACACTGATCGTTAAGCAGAAGCAAAATGGTGCTCAATCTCCTATGAAGTAAAGAACATGGGTAAAATTGAACATCACAAAGGAAAAAAGAAGCAATAATTCATATATATATATATATATATATATATAAGTATGTATATTCAGTTTCTTTTAAGCTTATTGTAGAATGGATCCTGCAGATTTCAATCTCTGTATTGCGACAGGCGAAGGATGAATTTTATGTGATAGATATAAAGTGCATCCCTGGCAACTAAAAATTTGAATTTCATAGCGTTATTTCTTTCCCACAAAGCTAATGCAAATTTTAAGTAAAAATTATCAAAAATACCACCGATTGCATTGTGTATAATTAAACCATAACCACAAAATTTATATTTTAGTTTACTAAAATAATTATGTTTACGGAACAGGCAACATCAAAAGAATTCAAGTAAGTTACCAATAACTACTATAATCGAACTAATTTAGAAAGAAATTTTAGATTTAAACGAGTCGAACGTGGTGAGACTTCTAGCAAGAGAATGTTCTATGAAGAACATGATCGGGGTTTCGCCAAAAGGCCTAATATAAAGGATTTGAATTATGCTTGTGGTGCTTCGGATTTTTATTATAGTCCAAGAAGTAAGTTAATTAAATAATTTCAGTTTATTGATCAAAAGTTAGTTGGTTATATTATTATACGTTATGGTAAGTGAATTGGACATTGAAATTGGTAGCTTCCGAGAGGTAGAGGTCACTTCCCAATTAGGTGTACAAATGTTGAAATATAATTGGAAAAATACGTTTAATTACCTCAATTGCGTTTTAATTACACTCAATTATATTTAATTACAGTCAATTACACCCAATTACATTCAATTACGCTCAAATACATTCAATTAATTACATTCAAATATATTCAATTACGTTTAAATATTTTCAAATACATTTAATTTCAATTAATTACTGCCAATAAAATATAATTACATACCCCCTCCATCCTCCATTTTTATTTCCAATAAAAGTTAATTGTGTTTTTTTTTTCAATTTTGTGAATTCTTTCCAATTTGATAAAAAAAAAATTCAATTTTATGATTATGATTTTTAATTTTGTGAATTTTTCTCCAATATTGTAGGATTGGTAATTTCAATATGCCGCATTTCAATACTTTAGACCTATTTTACCTTATTGATAGTATCTATGTTAGTTTTAATCAAGTACCAGTGTTAATTGGTACCAGTTGTTAAATTGTTATGTTCTGCAGTGGCGTATCTACCGGTGTGCCATGTGTGCGAAGCACACAGGCCCGGGCCCGAGAGGGGCCCGTGAGCTCCATAGCGAAACTGCAAAAAAAAAACGTAAAAAAATCGAGATTACACCAAGAAAAAAAAAGTAGCTACAGAAACTTCAACATACTGAAACAGGAGATCCTTCCAAGACCCAAAATAGGAATTCTAGGCTTCAAAAATTGTTCGCATTGCAATTTCGACGCGTTCCCTGATGCAATTTCGACGCGTTGCTATGACAAAAGTGACAGAATCTCAGACAGAAGTATCGTAACAATATGGCGGAAGTGGGATACGCTTTTTTCTCCTTATGTCGCCTCCTTATTATTCTACCTCAATAATTTTTCCTTAATTTTGCCTAAATAAGTCAATTTTCTTTGAATTTTTCCTGGAGTGATTTTTCACTGGAAAATTTCGACATTTCCCTATAATGAGCTCCTCACTTTTCTCTTTATCCTGGAAAATTTTCAAAATTTTCCCTTTAGCAGTTTTCTAAAAAAAAAATTAAATGTGATATGATGAATTTTGCTTAGAAAAGTCAATTTTCCAGAACTTTCCTATCGACTTTCCTTTTTTTTTTTAAATTTTGAAAATTTCCTATAATGAACTCCTCATTTTCTTCTTTTTTTCTGGAAAAATTTCACAAGTTTTGCTTTATTAGTTTTCCAGAAATAAATTAAAATGTGAGAGGATGAGTTTTTCTTAATTTTACTTGAAAAAATCATTTTTTCAGAATTTTTCCTGGAGCGATTTTCCATTGGAAAATTTTGGATTTTCTTATAATGAGCTCCTGACTTTCCTCTTTTTCCTCTTTTGCCAATTTTCTAGGAAACAATTGAAATGTGAGAGGATGAATTTTCGTTAATTTTACTTGAAAAAGTCAATTTTCCAGAATTTTCCCTAGAGTGATTTCTCACTGAAAAATTTCGAAATTTTCCTATAATGAGCTCCTCACTTTCCTCTTTTTCTTGGAAAATTTTCAAAATTTTCCCTCTGCCAGTTTTCCAGAAAAAAATTAAAATGAAAGAAGTGAATTTTCCTTAATTTTGATTAAATAAGTAAATTTTCCAGAATTTTTTATGGAGTGATTTTTCATTTGAAAATTTTAAAATTTTTGCAATAATTTCTGTAATTTTCATAGTTTTATTATTTATTTTATTTTATTTTACATTTATTGCATCTTAAGTATACTTATTGCAAGAAATTTGGTTTTTTTAATGTTACATTATTATTATCTCTATCTTATTCTATTCTATAGCTAACTTAGGAAAATTACATTATGTATTAAAAAATACGCCGAAGAAGGACAATTATTGTGTTCGGCAAAACGAAAGAAATTAGTCATTCATTGCGCAAAAAGGATCTTACCTTTAACATATTTAGTGTATAATAAGCAATTTTTGATAGGCTATTCAAATTGTCTGAATTAAGTATTTGGACTAAGTCATCCATGCCCAAACAATCATTACCAAGAAACTCTGCTCTACAAGCTTTATACATGGGGCAAATGAAAAATAAATGCTGAAGTGTTTCTGCCTCTAACAAGTTACATACTGTGCATACTTCCTCAGGTCTAATTGAGTAGGATAAACCCCTGTTTGAAAACTTAATATATTTTTTATTCGCAGTTCGTAATTGAGCTATTATTCTGGTAATAAAAATCGAGCAGGCAATCTTCAGGTAATTCTTCTGAATGTTATATGTCAAAGAATTTGCTAAAAATAAGTATGAAGAATTTTCGAGCATAAGTAAATCACAATTTTTTAAATAATTCTTGTAAGTTTCTAAGGCTTTTTTTCCGAAATGGGCAATGTTTACGCGCTTATCGATGATCTCATCCCATAGAGATACAGCAGATGATTTTTCGAAGATATTTTTTAAATGAAGGACCCAATTATATTTAATATCGCACTGAGTGGATAGAGTCAAAAGACGCTCAAAACAAATCCTTGGGAGTCTAGAAGTATCCATTTTTAAAATTTTCTGTAACCAAGATATACCTTCCTTAAATAAGTTATAACTAACTTTCCAGCGGCCAGTTTCGAGCCTGACTATATGATCTGCCGTGGACCTTGGAAGCAAAAGCAACTGTTTAAAAAACCCAACTTGGATGCGTTCCAAGACATCCTCATACCGTAGGCCCCAAATTCCAACCCCGTACGACATGGTAGATATGACAACGCTTTGGTAAAGTTTTATTCTGGTATCCCAGCTGTTTATCTTGGCCCTGCTCATGGTTCCCAGCACCGCTCCGAAAGCCCGTTTGCAGTTTAAAACTGTTCTCTTTGACATATGCAAAAATAAAGACGAAGCGGAGAATTCGACGCCCAGATAATTAAACTGGTTGACTACTTCAAGCTTTTGGCTGCCGTAGTAAAAATTTAATTTTTTTGAATGGTGGAAGCCACCTTTAGTAAACACCAGCACTTTAGTTTTATCAGTGTTAACCAATAAATTGTTTTCATCTGCATATTGTTTTAGAATAGCGAGCTTCCGGGTCAGATCTATAGGAGAATCTGCGAGCAAAGTTTGGTCATCAGCATACAATAACATGTTCCGCTCAGTGATACCGTCGATGCTGACTCCTTTGGCCCCCTTAGTGATAAAATAATCGGTGATATCGGCAATGAATAGAGAGAACAGTAAAGGGCTCAGGGAGTCCCCCTGCAAAACCCCTTCAGTTATGTCATAGGTCCTACTGAAAGTCGCATTGGATTTTATAGACATTTGTGCTATGTCATACAAACTTTTAATAACATTAATATATTTTGTGCTTCTTCCCAGCCGGTGTAGTTTTTGCCAAAGTAAGTTATGATTGATTGAGTCGAAAGCACGTTTAAAATCGACAAATGCTGTGTAGAGCTTTCTGCCTTTTAATCTAAGTCGTAATTGCACTATTGAATTCAAGACAAAAACATTATCCACGCAACCCCTGCGGGCTCTGAACCCCGCCTGACACTCAGGCAAAATGTTGTTTCCTTCACAGAAAATGGTCAGTCTATTTTGCAGAATTTTTGTAAAAACTTTAAGTAAACAGTTAATTAATGCCACACCTCTATAGTTGGCGGGGTCCTTCCTCGAACCTTTTTTGTGAAGCATGGAGAGAATGGTTTCTCCCCAAGCCGGCGGCACCTTCTCCAAGTTTAATATTTTATTAAACATACAACATATTGTAACGGTAACGAGCCGCCCATGTGTAGCGGATTCTAGATTTTACGCCGATGTTCAAGAACAAGGTCGAACGCGGTTCTTCCCGAATTTACGTGAATAAATTACGGCAATATATAAGGACGGGTTTTAGCTTGTAAGTTTAAGTTTCAGTTCGACTGTGATACGATTTAAATAGTGATTGTAAAGAGTTTAATTGTTGAGTTTGTTAATAAAGTAATTAGTGTCAGAGTGTTTTTTTAAGTGGAATAAATTATTGCTGTGTTAATTGGTCTTTGATTTTTGGAATGAACGGAACGAACAACGAACCCAAGATTTTTGTCAGCAGGCAACCCAAAGCCGCGACAATTGGTGCCAAGAAGTGGGATATAAAAGACTGCAGAGTGAAATCCAATTACGGAAGTGCGGGGACACTAGTGTAGTATAAAATCTGAACACTAAGTGAACACTGGGACAGTTAGTACAGTGCAAACAGTGACAATCACAAAAAGAGACTTAACCGATCGTGTGAATTACCCTGGAAGTGACTCTATACCCGATTTAGACTGTGATAGTGAATCTTCGAGTGAGTTCTAGAAAATTCTATTTGGAAACTAAGGGAGATATCGAATTTGTGACTTCGCCGACGTATTCGGAACATCAATCGTCATTCAGAAGAGGTTTTTCGAGGAATTTCGGGAAAATTCTAGAACATTCTATTTGGAAACCAAGGGAGATATCGAAATTGTGACTTCACCGACGTGTTTGCTGTATCAATCGACATCTAGAAAATAAATTTCAAGGAAATTCCAGAACATTCTATTCGCGAATAAAGCAAGTTATCCAATTTGTGACTTCACCGGTGTGTTGGAACTTCGAGCACAGACCAGAAAAGATATTTGAAGAAAGTGCGAGGGAAATTCTAGAACATTCTGTATATGCCTATCACAAGACAACAAGCCAAAATGGACGAACAAAAAGTTGAAGAACTCCTGCGCAAAATGTTGGAACTTCAAGAGACCAAACGACAACAAGAAAAAAAAGACGAAGAAGCCAGACGACTACAAGAAAAACAAGACGAAGAAGCTAGAAGACAACAAGAAAAACAGGACGAAGAAGCCAGACGACTACAAGAAAAACAAGACGAAGAAGCCAGACGACAACAAGAAAAACAAGACGAAGAACTCAGGCGACAAAAAGAAAAACAA